TGATAAAGAAGGACAGGCAAGCAGGGCACGGTGGCTCAGGCCTGAAATCCCAGTGACTGCCCAGAAAGGATCATGAGTTCAAAGCCAGCCTCAGCAATGGCAAGGCGCTAAGCAACTCCGTGAGACTCTGTCTCTAAGTAAAATATAAAATAGGGCTGGGGATGTGGTTCAGTGGTCAAGTGCCCTGAGTTCAATCCCTGGTACCCCCCGTCCCCCACCCCTCAAAAAGGACTGGCAAATCCAGATGCTGGAACACCTAGGATGGTGAAACTGAGGTGCATCTGGTGGCCCACTCCAGCCCTAGATGTCCCCTCTGACCTCTCCTGGGCAGAGAGAGGCTCACAGCTCCCTGTCCCCTGCCCTGGTGACTCACCGACATCACCAGCACATAGACACGCAGGTCAAACTTGCGACCTGTCAGGCAAAGAAAGAATTAATTGGTGGAGCGAATACTGGTTACCAGATGGTTGGGGTGTGGCAGTGCACAGACGGAGCTCCCCGAAAAACACGTGAGGTGCCAGGAGAGAGGAACTGGGAGTCCCTGTTGGGGAAAAACTTGTGACTTAGTGGCAGCTAGTCAAGGTTGCTGAGCGAAAGCCCCTGAGAAGTGGTGGCCTGCAGAGAAGAAGGGGCCCACCTGACCCGGAGGGGCACAGGGCCTTGGGGCAGGACAGAGGCCCTGAGGGGGCAGAACCCGGCCAAGGGAGAGACAGGAAGGGGATGAGGGGTGTGCAGTTGGTAGGGTCCCCGTGGTCTCTGGGGTGTATTCTACAAACTGCGGGAAGCTGCTGGAGGGTGTCTGATGCCTCTGGCTATTGGTGCCGCTGTCCAGGGAGAGGACAGTGGCCAGGATCAAGATGGAGGCAAGAGGGACAGAGGTGAGAGGGGTGGCAGACAGCTGTGTGGGGCTGGGGGTGTTGCTCAGTGGTAGAGCACTTGCCTAGCATGCATGAGGTTCCACCCCCAACATGCAAAACCAAAACCAAAAAAATCAGACAGGATGGGGGGGAGGGGAGGAGAGACCCAGGGGCTGCCCCCTGGGGARGGTCATTGGCCCAGGAGGTAGGGGAGGGGAGGGGCACTAACTCTGTTGCAATGAAGTGCCACCTACAAGAGGCCCCAGACCCTGACCCTTCTCTCCTGTGTGGGCAAAGCCCATGCACCTGGGCCTAAGGAGGCCGCCTGAGCCTCAGGCTCCCTGGGCCTCAGAGAGGAAGCCGGCTGCACCAGGAGCCTTTCCCTCTTCCTGTTTTCTCCCTCCAGTTTTACCTACAGGTGACTCCCAGGTGTCACTCTGTCCCCTGACCCTGCCTGATTTACTTTGCAATGGCTGCAGCTGCGTGGGATTCTTGTATTTCTTTGCTCTCTGGCTTAAGGCTGTCCCCTCACCTAGGGTAAAAATAGACTCCACAGGAGCAGAGCGACAGCCGGCACCCAGGCCAGCGGCTGGCACTGAGGAGGGCCRTCATACTTGTTGGGTAGATGCATACGTGAAAGAATTGGTTCTCAAAGGAGAATTTTCATGAACCCAGAGGGGGAGGGAAGGCACTCAACCACGGGGAATCTATGGGCAGCAGCCAGGACAGATCTTTCCTGTGCATCCCCCTGCCCTGGATGTGAGCCTGGGCCCTCAGTCGCAGCTAGTCAAGGTTTGCTGAGTGAGTGAGTGACTGACTGGTCAGAAGGGCAGGGAGCTGGGGACAGCCATCTCACCTCCGATCAGGTATGGATTTTCGATGTAACGCTGAGCTACGTAGTTCTCCACAGGGATCTCATCTCTTTGGTCATCAGAATTTCTTGGGTCCTAGTTGCAATAATATTATTAACATTTATTGAGCGCTCCTGTGTACAAGGAATTACGTTAGGCACTCTACTTGGGATATCTTTTTTTTTTTCTTTTTCTTTTTGGTGCTGGGGATTGAACTCGGGGCCCTTAACCACTGAGCCACATCCCCAGAGCCCTATTTTGTATTTTATTTAGAGACACTGAATTGCTTAGGGCCTCATTAAATTGCTGAGGCTGGCTTTGAACTCTCGATCCTCCTGCCTCAGCCTCCCGAGCCACTGGATTACAGGTGTGTGTGTCTCTCCGTGCCCGGCCCTTTCACCATTTTTTGAAAGGAAACAAACAAAAACTTTAGTCCTTCAGTATCAGTGGCCACGGGACAAGTGCTCGATATGATGTCCACATGTGGCCAGCGGTCAGATACTAGACAGCTCAGATATGGTCCGTTGCCATCACTGCAGAAAGTCCTATCAAGGTGCTGCCACCAGGGCATCAGCAGCCCCTGAGGCCCGGAGGCCATCCCTGGCCCTTCTCTACTTGCCCACCCAGCTGGGGACGATGCCATGCTCTCACACAGGTGCACRGCCCTCCAGGTCTGCAAACTTTCTCACCCATTGTCCCCTTCACAGTCACCTGATGAGGAGCCCAGGCTCCAAGACAAGGGTCAGGTACTTCCTGGGCTCACACAGTGGCCCTGTGCTGGGAATGCTCTCCTGAGCAGACCCCCCGCAGACCCCCACACTGCTCCCCACCCCGACAGCCAGACTTCCCTCCAGGGACCCCGGCCACCCCTCTACTCACATGGCTTCCAGAGGAACTGATGGRGTAGCGGGAAGGCTGGGCCTCGAAGCCCTGGAACTTCTTGCAGGCAGTGCCCTGACAGGTGCCCAGGGAAGAATGGGGACGCAGGCATCAGGGGGAGGTGCATTAATTGAGCACCTGCTGTGAGCCCACAGGAGTCAGGTCCTCCAGCTCCCCCCACCCCCCCACCATCTCACTACCAAGGTTCAGAGGGCTCCAGTGATTTCCCCAGGGACACATGTCTGTTGAGAGGCCGAGGCAGGATTTGACCCAGGATTTCTGCTTGCCCAAGGTCACACAGCTATGGTTTGCAAGGTCAGAATTTGAACCCCAACAGTCTGGTTCCAGTGACCCTCCTCTGTGGGCAGGCCTGTGCTGGCTCTCTGAACTTGGAAGGGAGAGAGGAGGGGAGAGGGCAGAGGACGTGTGGAGAGCAAAGGGAAAGAGGCAGACTCACCTTCCTCCAGTCCATGATGTCCTTCAGTCTCCGGAAGAGGAAGATGCCYTTGCCCTGGGACCGGGCTACCTGAGGGGAGGGGTGGGGGACACAGAAAGGCCACTGTCAGCTTGGTAGTTTCTTGTKGACCTCAGTACCTGGGAGCCCTCCCCAGCGTTTCTCTATGTCCATCTTCCCAAAACCCCTTAGGCCCAGAAAAATGGTCCAGCCCCCCCCCCCCAAGGCCTGGGGGAGCAAAGGTGCTAAACACAGGAGGGAGTTGGACAGGAGGGGGAGGAGAGACTCCTCTGCGCACAAAGACACKCATTTGCATGAATAATGCAGAAGAGGAGACAATTAAAAAGCCATTCCTACAGTCCTGGGAACATATCATCCAATTCTTTTTTTGGAAATCAATTTGCCTTCCTAATTAGGTTTTGCTTCTGCTAATACCGAAATCAGTCTGCCTGTGCTGAACTCCAGCATGGAGAATTCACAGCTCACAGGGGCTGGGGCCCAAGGATCTTGACTACGCTGCAGAGTGGTCCTCCTGTGTSTAAGGGGGCCCCAGCGGCCCATCCACCCTGGTCACCTGTCAGATCTTGCACATCCACAGTACCCAGCAGCTCAGTCACCCTMTCCTCACCCACAAACACAGCCCATCTGTTACAGGATAGCTTTGCTAAGCGTTCATCCAAAATGTATATATTGGGTRCCTACTGTGTGCTGGATGTTRCGCAATAGCTGTAACAGACSGCAGGAAGCGTTCCCAGTCTAACCTGTTTTGAACTGAAATTTGCCAGCCWKGCMTGGCTTCTAGGGCCACCTGGAGCARGTCTGGTTCCTGGAACCACCCTATGGTTATCTGTGGCTACTGAGCCTGTCCCCCAGAGTCACCTTTATTTCAGCACAAATGCAACCAGCAAGTGCAAATTCTCATTTCTCTCTGTTCTCCTCTGAGCGTGGGCCACCTGGCCCGCCAAGGCCTGCTGTRCAAACTCGGGGTTGGCAGAGCTGCACAGGGCTGTAGGTTGCCCGTCGGTCGGGCTGAGGCCCCCTGCTCTGCCTGCCCTCTGTGCACCCGGGTTCAGGGTTATGAGTGCCCAGAAAACAAGGTGGACGCAGTGAACAGGTCCTGGGCTTCCCTAGTCACCAGGGAGACGCAAATGAAAATCACACTCCCTGAGCAAGAGCAAGTGCTGGTGACACTGGAGAAGCGGGGACTCCCACATGCTGGACAGACAGGCACATCCTAGGAGGGTCACAGGGCTGGGGCCTYCCGGGAAACTGARGCAGTGTGAAGACCCCCCTTCAAACCCTGATTCTGCGATCGAGTCAGAAAGATTTCAGACATGTCACTCGGAGTAACAGGCGGGAGTTATTGAAGGGATAGGGAAAGGGATACTCCCGAGGAGAGGCTGGGTCCTCTCTGAGAGGAACAAGGTGGCTCTCCTGCRCTGGTTTTCCTGGGATCCCAGAGAAGTTTCCAGAAAGTCCCGCCCAGGTCCACCTCTTGGCTTTTGACTGACAGCAGCAAGACATCACACTTTCAAGTCCCCACTACCATGACAACCCTAGGCACTTTGTCCCGTGCTGATGGGTTCTAATTGGATTCTTTTTTTTTTTTTAATCTTTTAGTTGTAGATGGACACAGTGCTTTATTTTGTTTATTTATTTTATGTGATGCGAAGGCACGAGCCCAGGGCCTCACACATACTAGGCAAGCGCTCTGCCACTGAGCTACAATCCCAGCCCSCTAATTGGATTCTTAGCCATACATTCTTACAGGTTTTATGATCAGGAGGAATTATGCTTATCTCCCTGAGTTTCGGGATCTGGTCTTTGGAAAGGTTTACAGAAATCTCCCCCTCGGGGAATTTGGATCCTCTTATCAACATTATTTGGGCCTGCATTTCTCCTGCAGACAAMAGGTAGTTTGCTGAGGAACGTGACAGAGCCTGTCCACCTAAGCCAGGCAGGCTGCAGGGAAATGCTTCTTGGAAGAGAAAGCCTGTGGGGGTCAGCGCAGGGGGCCGTCTTATATAATTATTCCCTTAACCTGTGTTCCCACCAGCCTCATCTGTCTGTTCCATGTCAACAGCACCATTCATAAAAGTGCCAGCCTTGGAAATACTTTCTCAGTGGAACAGTGTACTGCGATGACAGTTAGCAATTCCCAATTACTTACACCCGTAGGGTGAATCACATGACTAAACTGTTGAGGGAAAGAACTAGAAACTGTGGAAATATTTGTATTCTATCAAGTACAAAATCAGAGAGAACAAATCTGTGCCGTCAGTGGCTTAGGGGGTCGTGAATGGAGGAGGTCGGAGGGACGCTGAGGGGCTGATAGGGYTCTGTTTATGACCTGGGTGCTGGTCACTTGGATGTGTTTACTTTGTCAAAATTCATACCACACCCCTATAACTTGGGCAYCTTTAAATGTTTATCTTCAATTAAAAAGTGTCTTTTAGGGGCTGGGGTTGTGGTTCAGTGTGAGGCACTGGGTTAGATCTAAGCACCACATAAAAATAAATAAATAAAATAAAGATATTGTGTCCATCTACAACTATAAAAAAATCTTTAAAAAATGTGTCATTTAAGGCATGTATGTACCCTTTGATCTCAGAACCCCTCTCTCACCCCGGAAGCCATTCTCCCTCTCTTTTCTTGCAGGCAAAATCCCTCTCTCTGTGATGGGGCTAGAAAGGCTTCCTACTGGTTTTCCCAGCTTCCCTTGCAATTAGCATGAGCCAGTTTTGGCTAATGAGACCTAAGGAGACATCTTCTTATCCATTCTGGGGAGATTTTCCTCTGTGTTAAAAATATAAAGAGAGAGGGAGGGGCCAGGTGCAGAGGCACACGCCTGTAATCCCAACTACTCTGGAGGCTGAGGCAGGAGGATCGCAAGTTCAAGGCCAGMCTCAGCAACTTAGCAAGACTCTGTCTCAAAATAAAAAAAATAAAAATAAAAGGGCTGGGGATGTAGCTCAGTAGTTAACTACCCCTGGCACCCAAAGGGGAAAAATAAAAAAGAACAAAAAAAGAAAAAAATGGAGAGAGCAGAAAGGGAACACAGGGAGGGAGAGAGGGGGTCAGAGAGACAGACAGGGAGAGAGACGAAAAGAAATGTCTGRCCCTTCCTTCTTTTTTGCTTTTTTCTGAGGACATGAGGTCTGCAGTCACAGCAGCCATCTCATAGACATGAGGTGACAGATCTGATGGCTAAACACAGGGAGGAAGCAGAGCGGACAGGGAGAAGACCCCAAGGGCCTTCAAGGCATCGCCACGCACATGCCCCAACCCGGAATGGCCGACCTCCAGCTCTTGTTGTGYGAGATGATGAAATGTCCTTATCGGTTAAATCACTGTAGTAACTTGACAAACCTGTTCCAAGAGATGCCCCCCCCCAAGGGAATAATCCTAAAAGTGAAAAATAAACTTCCTGCTCAGTAATAGATCAGGGTTGTTAAGACTGGAAGTCACCTAGAGCTCCGGCAGATGGTGTTTCCAAAACCAATCACAACATCTCCAGTCCCGTATGTTCTCCAGAACCCCACCAAGAGGTAAAGTCAATGTCCCCTCCCCTTGAGTGGGGGCAGGGCTTCAGGACGGTCACAGCTAACGGTGTGTGGAAGAAGTGGCAGGGTGAGAACTCTAATGAGGATCAGGAAAGACAATGTGGTTTCTACCCAGCTATGATGCAGAGCCCAGATGCCATGCTGTGAGGAAGCCCAAGTCACATGAGGGGCCCACAGGGAGGACAGCTGAGTCTTCTAGCCCTTGCCCTGGCTGGGCTCCCAGCCAGCAGCCAGCACCATCTTGCCAACCCAGCGAGTGAGGCCAAATTGGAAGCATCCTCCAGCCTCAGCAGAGCTGCCCCAGAGGATGCTGGTGCAYAGATGAGCCTTCCCTGTCAAGCCCCAGTTGGAGGCTCATGAGCTAAAAACAAGAGGTTATTATTGTTTCAGGGCCTTCTGTTGGGGTGGTTTGTTACTCAGCAGTACTTACCAGTTTACCTTGTGCCAGGCCTCTATGACATGGGCATTGATAGTATTCCCATTTTCAACCAAGGAAACCAAAGAACAGAGAGGCCAAGCATATTGCCCCAAGTCATCCAGYCAGCGGGTCATAAATCCAGGWTAGTGAAATCTGTGCYACACAATCYSGGGGCTCATRTACCTCTTGCAGGGTGCCATGGGATAYACAGAATCATACAGCAAGCATGGGGTAGCTTCTGGGAATATTACTTGATAACTTGGGAGGAAAATATTTTTACATATAAAGATACATTTATGATTGGAAAACATTTAAATGGATTATTAGAATGAAACATAACTTTGGTTTTGTACCAAACGTGGCCATTTACAGTCCTTGTCCCCTKGCCAAGAACCACATTTGGGTCACCCTGTGGGTTGTCCAGCCCTCTGGGGAGGTCTGAGCCCTCATRCTATTGCCATGGGATTGGATCAGGCGATAATCTATAGGATGTCACGGGAAGTTTGCTGCTGAGACTTCTGGGAAGAGTTTTGTGACTTCTTCAAAAGTGACACAAGACCAGGGCATTCCTGTATTCCCATGGCTCGTAGAGGTATAAGGAGGTGAAGCTAGAGCTGTGGCAAGAGGAACCGTCCGCCTGTCAGGCTAGGAATTGATGGAATTGTCGAGCTACCCAGAACCATCCCCTGTCCAGCTATTCTACATTAAAGGAAATTCCCCCGGACCTCTGAACTTGAATGAGAAAAACARCATCTTCCTTTTGACACCCTGCCATGTACCCTGTGTTCCCTTCTATGGTGAGTGTGGTCAACACATCATAGGAGTATCTGCCATCAGAAGCAATCCCAGCTATGTTTATGTATCACATTACAGTTGTTGCTGATGTCTCAAGATGCTGTTCATGCACCTGTGGCGGGGGTCTGCTGTTAACGAAGAGCACGTAGCTTCTCTAGCACAGAGGGTCTTTTGATGATGTGCGTGGCAGCCCTGAGAACACCTCACAGACCTCCAGCTGCAGGAGAGCAAGGCCCTGAGGGTGCCAGCTGCCGCCTGTCCAGAGGCTGCTCCCAACCCATGACTGGCTGGTTCCT